CATTTTGAGAAGTAAAGCACTCATAGAACTAAACAACAAGAATTTATTATGCTTCCCTACCTGTAAAATGAAAACAGAAAATACAGTAAAATGTACAATTGATTGTTCTGGTTTCCCCACCTATTTACTTTTAATTTGTATTGTAGCCTGTACACACAAACAAATGATTTCTGAATGACTACCGTAGATTAATCTGTGACATAGAACCCCCACTTAGAGGACTAGCCTCCACCACAGGACATTAGTACTTGCAGAATGGTGGTAATAATGTTAACTTGCCCTATAATTCCCTGAACCCCTGCTTCCTTTGCTGACCAGGGAGTCTACAATTCATCTCAACCTTTCCATGAATAGGCAGGTTAGGTGAGATGTGGCATCAGTCTACAGAGTTATTTATCTTCTCAATATTGCATCAGTCAGAAAAAGACTCAGGCGTGGCAGTGTGGATTTGTTGCTATTAAATCATATATAGTAGGTCCATGAACTAGTTGGGGATCCAGATAAAATGTTCCCAAGGAAGAAGAAAACTTGGACCACCACCAGAATATTTAGGTATTTTAGTAAGTTAGCATAATGTAAAGTAAATAATTTTTACAATGAAATGTAAAGCCAACACATTTCAGGGTTTAGAAATCAGAGCTAATATTGGGTATTAAATGTAGTCTAGAATGGCTGACAAAGGGAAAATTTTATTAGGACACACTGTTAGTGTGTCACATTGCAGAGATCCAGTTTCAAGGAAGGACATAACCAACAGTTAAGTGCCTGTGTTGGGGGCCAACAACGAACTAGTTTATAGTATTCCAACTTACAGGTTTATCCTTTTGGTACTTTTAATACTTTCTTTCAAGCCTTTCTGGAAAGGAAAGCTTTTCCTTTCAGGAAGTCTACTGGTAAGGGATCTGCTACTGATGTTGCATGTCCACATTTAATGTCAAGAGCTGTCTGTTTGCATCCAATACTCATGTGTACTCAGCATTAGAAAATAAACAAAGTTGACAGATACATCATGCATGCAGTCCAGAAAAGAACAAAGGTAGGATTTGTTAGGTAAATATAATCAGCTAAACACAACCAATGCATAACATGAATTTTGAAAAAGAAATATCAATATAAAGATTAAATTTACTGCCAACTAATTCCATGCAGGACACCGCAGCAAATCCATATTTGAGAAGATAGTGCTTGCCCCTTCTTATGTTGAAAATGAGCCAATTCCTTGGTGTATGAAACAGAAAGCCAGGTTATAAAAATGTGATGGATGATTTAGTTGACTGTATTCAGCTGTAAGCAATAAACGCTGAGCTCTGCAGAAACTACCAAAAGGAAAAAAAAAATGCAAGTGATTTACTGGCAATTTAAGGCACATGAGATTTGTAATGCATGAGACCTTCAGGCCTGTTTTTTTTTTTTAATGAGCAATAATATGTAAGTGACAAAAACAGAACCCTTGTTTGGATCTTATGCAAAACATTATTTATTTATTTTTTTAAAATAGCATTAGCTTAAATTTAAATGCTGTAGACTTTATCATAAGCTGAAATGAAAAATGATTTGGCATACAGCTTCCATTTTGCTACAATAATATTACAAATGAAATTTTTTATTAATATTTGGGGTTATTGTACTGACTTAATATGTTTTATCAACAGTCTTCTTCTTCTACACAATTATATTTTTTTTTACCAAAAATATGTTTTTTAGGCTTTTGATAAATAGAAAACACAAGTAAAATAAAGTTTGATCAACAGTATAGAAAAGCAATTACAAAAAATAATGATGCAAGTATGATGACTGAATGCATTATGAGTAACACAGGTGTTACAATGTATAATACAGCAAAGTGTTTCCAACAAAATCACAGTGATACGTTTTCTTACAGGGAACGTAGAGAGGAAACTAACATAGGTTGGATGACTCTCATCAAAAGAAAGTTGCTAATCACAGAATTCTAATCGTCTTAAGCCAATATGTACACACAGTCAAAGTTTTTAACCTGACATCTACAGAGATGAAAAAATAAATGGGGTGGGAGAAATGGAAAGAGAGAGGATGGCCCTCCATAAGAACCCAGATCATGAGGGGAAAGAAATTAGGCAGTCAGACTGACAAGCAGACAAATAGAATAACAGATGTCAAAGGGCTTTGATATAGAGTTGTTAAAGCTTGCCTTGAGGTACCACTCTGTATATTGGAAGGATTGCATTAAAGACAGAGTTTTCTTTAGGGGAAAGTTGTGTTCAATATAGGAGTGCCATCTAGTAAACAACCTTTTTTGTGGGGCCATAGTTCTGTAGTTCAGTGCTGATTTTTTTCTCTGTAAAAACGTTTTGTGAGGTCCTTTTTAACTGCTGTGACCATAGGTGGAGAAAAGGATGCCCACACCTTCAATATGTTGGGACAATGTTTCTCAGCTTTTTTTTCAGTCAAGGCACCCTTTAAAATTTTGCACAATCTCGAGGCAACCCATTATAAAATGTAAAAAACTGCACTATTAGTTTTCTATAATGCAGCAACATCCACACATGGAGGACACCTAACGTTAGAGATGATTATTCTTCCAAAGCAAAAAACACCTTTGCACACTGGTACTTATTAGTATTTCAATGTTTCTTTTTTTGCTCAGTTTCTCTCTCTTACTCACTTAATGTGACCCCAGTGCTGACAGAGAGGAGCAGGGCAAGGGAAAAAATGGATGCTACGCAAACACCAGATACCCTTTTTATCAACTGATAATGAAAACCCATGACTTTGTGCAACTAAAATGCAGGCTTGATCCACTTGCTGGCTTGTATGCAGTTTTTTGGCATTTTTCCAAAGCACTCCTGAAGCCTGGTGTCTGGGTTTCCTGGTTGGAAAAGACTGCTTTGGGAATCAAAAACACTGGACCTGTGTGTCCAGGTGCATTATGACTAAATAGTAGTAATAGAGGCATCTTGGGAATCAGCCAGCAATTGATGCCATAAATAAAGGTGATAACTTGGTCCCAGTAGATTGATATTGGAGTGTACAGACAAAACCAATTGAACAGTGAGTGCTTAGAGATCCCTCACTGTGGACATGTTGCTGGGTGGACAGTAATGTTTGAAGAAAGAAAAGTGATAAATGACCTGTGTATCAATTTATACTCAGTCTCTCTCTACAGTTCATTGGTGATACACTGGTGAATTTTCAGATAGCCCTCCAAAATCTTGTCTCCTAGGTTGTCTTCCAGAAGGTCAATTTCATAAGAAGTGTTTCAGCCTTGGTTGTGTGGAAACCAATTGCAGTGGTTTATCTGTACACACCTCAGAGATGGAGTAAGCGTGTTTATTGAGTAAACTAACGATTGGGGAGAAACAAAATGTGAGTCTCTCTCCACAGTTCATTAGTGAAACACTGACAAATTTTCAGATAGCCCTCCAGAATCATGTCTCCTAGGTCATCTTCTAGAAGGTCCTTTTGCTACTCCATAAAAAAGTGTTTCGGCCTTGGTTATGTGGACAGCCAATTGCAATGATTAATACACCTTGGAGATGGGGTAAGATCATTTATTGAGTAAACTATCAATCCAGGTGAGATTGAATCTTTTAGAAGAATCAGAACAACATGACTTTATGTAGGAGAGTATATGATGATGGTATAAAAAGATAAGTTGAAATGAGTCGGAACTCAGTGATCATCTTGGGAACAAGTTTTGGTTTCATAGTTTCCAGACGAAACAGGTTGGTCACCTTTACCAATCCATGTGTGTTCCAGAGGTCGTATGCTTTATATTCCATTCCATTCCATTGAGGAAACATTGGGTTGCCATGCAGTTCAAGATATTGGGAAATGTGGGGGGATAGGTTGAGCTTCTTCCTGATTTCCCTCCAGACAAGAGCCAAAGCTTTCAGGAGGGTTTGCAATTTACTGTGCAATATACTTAACAGATGATAAGGAGAAACTAGATTACTCCATAAACTAGGATTCTAAGACATAGTTGGCATAGGCCAAAGAATGGGAAAGCCAATCCAAACCATATCAGGTAAATTTTTACTTCCCTCACTCTTTGGAAGACTCAGCCTGAAGTGCTGCAAGATTAGTTGTTTAACTGCATAATTTAAGTACCATACAATAACTGGCTGGTGATATGCTTTATTTTCCACAGGAGAACCAATCCTGTGCTGTGGGAATGGTGGAGGAACACTGCATGGCCAGGGCATTAGCTGTGAAGGATTCTGGGAGACATATGATGTGGAGGTTGTTGTACCTGAACTGGTTCTCCAGATTATGCAGTTTTTCCTGAATGGCCTGAAGTGCATCATCATGGGAATGCACAACTGTTGAGGCTTGATGTAGCTCATCCTCAAGGGAGGATAGCCTATGTTCCCTTTCCTGAATGCACTGGAGATGTACACTAACCTCATGCTTTAGCATGGCAATCCCATGTGTAACTGCTTTCAACATAGCTAATGAGATTGTGAGGGAGAAAAGGGCTGCCAAAGCTTCTGCAATACAGGCATAGATAGGTTTAACCTCTATAAAGGGAGATGAAGCAGGTGGGAGATGTGCCTCACCTCCTCACCATGCGGTGCTGAAACTGGAAACCTATACAATTATTTTGATATGCATCAGTTTACATATCAGCAACTACTTAAAGTAGAACTAAATGCAAAACTTTTTTTTTATTATTTTAAATAGCATAAGGAAGAATTATATTCACTGCCAGGTTTTTTTTGCCATCTGTGTTCCATTGGGCAGATTTAATTTCCTTTCTGTTCTATAGCCAAAAGAGGAAGTGAGAGGCGATCCATCCAAAGTGAGGGAATCCCTGCTTTTCACCAGGGTCCCTAGAACTAGTTATCCTTTATTGCTTCCCTGGGGACAACCCATATTTGAGGATTTGAGGATAAATAGAGAAAGTGACTCTACCTAATGAGAGCACAAACAGTCATAAATCCTGAAAGGTATCCTAATTCCTCTACAGTATAGCCACATTAATAAACAGGTTTAGTCTTTAAATATACTGTACATTAAGTATAGTTTCAGATTGAAGTTTACAGCTCCAGCTGCACTTAACGCTCCAGGTTTTGCTTTATTTTCCCTCTTTACAGTATGTGCCTATTCTACAGATGCAAGCATGACACATGTAGCATATGTGCAGGTTTAGCATGGTTGTAAGCAGGGGCAGACTAACAATTTGGAAATTTGGGCACTGCCCGAGGGCCCGGGGTCAGTAGGGAGCCCCATGAGATGCCCCTGGTACCTTTTTCATAGGCTTTTTTGAGTTTGGGCAAGGACACAGGGGCCCCATGATCCCCTATTGCCCGGGGGACCCATGAGTTGTCAGTCCGCCCCTGGTTGTAAGGATTAAAGCCTGCAACCCCCCTATCATATTTGTAGCAGTCTACATGCTTTAAATATTGTTGCTTCAAATGGGGAATCAAAAAAATCCCCCAATCATAACATCAGTTTGATGTAGATAGTCACAGATCTCTGCAGAGTGACAACATTGTTCACCACTGGAGCTCTACACTTCCACCCCCACACATTACTACACTCTGCTTGCTCTGCCATAAAGCTGCCTATACATTTTTTAGAAATGTTTAGAGGTGCCTGCCTCTGATGTTGAATTTCTTGAAGGAATAGCTGTGGCTATGGATTTGCCATTGCTACAGACAGAGTGAACGTCCTGCCAGGTTCCTGCTCTGTATATCATGAGTGCATGGCATTCATGAACACATACTGCAACAGTATTATTAGGATGTATTTTGTTTGGTTTGGTTAGGTTTGTATTTTGGTTTGTTCTCAATTAAACCCTCAAAACCCTTTACTGGTTTCTATTAACTCTTTACTCCTCAATTCCAATAGCGACTTTTTCTTTCCTATTTTGCCATTTGGATGTACAGTAACTTTTCCTTTTTCTCCAATTTCCTTGTTAGTTTTTTGTAGTACTGCATTAAAAAAATACATAGAATTCTAAAACAAAATCCATTTAATTTGTATAGTAAGTAGCTTCATTATACTTTGTTCCAGAAACATCAGTTCATTTATAAAATAGAAATAACACAAAAATGCACATGCAATAATTTATTAGAAAACTTACAGTAGAATTCCAAGTTTCAATGAACTTTTCTGGACCAAGTTGACCCCCAAAAACTATGCCCATTACTACAGAATACGGACGATGTAATAAAATGGAGTCGCATGAGCTACATACAGTAACCGGCATGATGTTCAAGCAACAGCATGGGTGATTTCCCCTTTGCTTCTGAAATTAAAGAGAGTTGAACTGAGTGCTTCTCCATCATTTAGGAGAAGCCTTTTCATTCTACCAATGAATACAAGGCTTCCTCTAATTTTCTGATGTGGAAAGGAAAGCTGATGCCGCCATAATTTTCATCTCAGCCATGATAAAAAAAACAAGGTTACTCCTGAATGGTAACATTCTGGCAACAGACAGGAAGTCACTTGTACTGCTGCAGAAACACAGTACTAATGCTACTACAGTATATGACAGCACATGCAGCTGCCCAGCTGAACTATTTAAAGTGCATCCCTAAATTCTATTTAAATTTTTATTTCCATGAAAGAAAATGTATTTATTCTCATGTTAATAAAAATCTGGTTCTGGTTTGTTATGCTTATAAGGAATAAATCCTAAAATGCCTCCTGTACTCCTCCTCCTCATACTCCTCTCCTCCGTTCCCAAAATCTCTTCTCTATATCCCCCTGCTCCTCCCAAACAACTGTATATCGCACCCTCGCTGCTTCCATCTCCCTACTACGGCTCTCACCACCTCCTCTTGATACTCTACTCTCCCACTGACCCAAACGCCATCACTGGTAGACTTACGCGCTCTTGTACATCCCACTCCCATGCCACCTTCCTCACCCTTCTTCTTCTCCTAACCGCTGGGGACATCTCTCCGAACCCTGGTCCTCCACCACCTCGCCCACACACAAGGCACCCTCTTACTTCCATGAACTGCCACAACCCCCTCAATCTAATACCCGTCCCTTTGCTCCCCAAAACCACTTCCCCTTTTTCATGTGCACATCAGTTTGCAACAAACTCACAGCCATCCACAACCTCTTTGTCTCCCGTTCCCTTAACCTCATAGCGATCACCGAAACCTGGATCCCAGCCACTGACTCTACCTCCCCTGTGGCACTCTCCTATGGAGGTCTCATCTGGACCCACTCACCCAGACTGCTCAGACTTCTACCCCACCTAGATTCCCTCACACAAAAGCCCCCTCAACACTCCTCTCCTTCTACCTCGCCACTGCCCAGACTTCCACCCCACCTAGCATTCCTCACACTAAAACAGCCCCAAGACTCCACTCCTTCAACCTTGCTACCACTGAAGAGGTCACTAAGGTCTTCTCTGAAGCCCGCCTCACCACCTGCCCCCTTGATCCTGTCCCCTCACAACTCCTACGATCACCCTCCTCCTCCATCCTACTCTTCCTCACTCACATCTTTAATCTTTCCCTCTCTACTAGCACATTCCCCTCCCCTCTAAAGCACGCGCACATCACTCCCATACTTAAAAAACCCTCCCTGGATCCCACCAACCTGAACAACCTTAGACCCATCTCCCTGCTGCCATTTACCTCTAAACTCCTAGAACGCTTACTCTACAATCGTCTGAGCTCCCACCTCACTGACAACAACCTTCTCGACCCCTTACAGTCTGGATTTCTCCCCCTACACTCCACCGAAACTGCCCTATTAAAGCTCTCTAATGACCTACTAACTGCAAAAACCAATGGCCACTACTCAATACTCCTACTACTTGACCTCTCCACGGCTTTTGACATGGTTGACCATCCCCTCCTCCTCAAAAAACTACACTCTCTTGGCCTCAGAGACTCCGCTCTCTCCTGGCTCTCTTCCTATCTATCACAGCACTCCTTCAGTGTTACCTATAATGCTGCCACCTCCTCTTCACTCCCCCTCTCTGTTGGGGTCCCTCAAGGTTCTGTCCTCAGGCCCCTTCTCTTCTCCATCTACACCTCCTCCCTTGGACAATTAATACACTCTCACGGCTTCAACTACCATCTCTATGCCGACGACATGCAAATCTATCTCTCTACCCCTCACCTCACCCCCTCAGTCTCCGCCCGTATCACAAGCCTACTGAACGATGTATCGGATTGGATGTCACTCCACTTCCTCAAACTAAATCTTTCCAAAACCGAGCTAATTTTTCCCCCCAGCCCGTGCCCCCCCCCTGACTTCTTCATCAAGACCAACAACACCACCATCAGTCCCACCCCACAAGCCAGGGTACTAGGTGTCATCCTAGACTCCAATCTGTCCTTCCAGCCCCAGGTCCAATCACTGACAAACTCATGTAGACTTCACCTCCGCAACATCTCCAAAATACGTCCGTTCCTAACTCCGGAAACCACTAAGCAACTCATTCACTCCCTTATTATATCATGACTTGACTACTGTAACTCCCTACTCATCGGCTTACCTCACCGCAGGCTATCTCCGCTTCAGTCGAACTTGAATGCTGCGACCAGACTCATCCACCTTACTAGCCACTCTGTATCCGCCACCCACCTCTGCCAATCCCTCCACTGGCTTCCGACTGCCAAACAGATAAAATTCAAAATGCTAACATTGACGTACAAAGCTGTTCATAATACTGACCCAAACTACATCACTGATCTGTTATCCAAATACCACCCAAAACGTACCCTCCGCTCCTCACAAGACCTCCTGCTCTCTAGTTCCCTGGTCTCCTCCTCCCATTCCCGTCTCCAGGACTTCTCCAGGGCTTCCCCCTTCCTCTGGAACTCCCTACCCCAATCCATCAGACTATCACCTACTCTCCTCACCTTTAGGCACACTCAGAAAACCTACCTCTTCAGGGAAGCCTACCCTGCCCTCAGCTAATTACCAATCTCCTCCACTCTTCCTACCACTCCATCCCCCACAGCTATTTCCTCCTGTACCACTATCCCCTCCCTCCTAGATTGTAAGCTCCAAGGAGCAGGGCCCTCGAACCTTTCATGTATTGAATTGTATTGTTACTGTACAGTCTCGTGTACTGTCTCCCATTATAATGTACAGCGCTGAGCAAACTGTTGGCGCTATATAAATCCTGTATAATAATAATAATAATAGTTTAAAGGCTAAGTTCACCTTCTTGAACATGTTACACCCGTATTTAGGGTGGAAGATGTAACATGCTCAGCATGCACCCCCTCTTCCCCTGTTCTACTGCCCATGACAGCGGGTGGGCATATTCTCCCCACACCTGCTGTCACAATTTGAAAACAGCACGGCCATGTGGGGCTGCACCAACACCACCACATCATTTATTCATAGTTTCCTCTGAGTGAATAGACTACAAGTACCATCAGCCATTGCAGTTGATGGCTTGTAATTCTCAATGAACTGCGAGGACACTGAATGTGTTCTCCTTGATTCATTGATCTTCCTGCTCTCAAATAATTGCCTGCTGTATGAGGTAGGAGCAGACAGCTATCCTGAGAGTCTTCAGGAGCCTGACATTGCACCTGCAATCTGCTGATCGTGGGTGCAATGCTCTGCAGGCTCCTTAGAAAAAATTAATAAATGCACTTTTTTTTTTTACCTGCAAAAAAAATGTGCATTATTTTTCAAAAGGTGAAGGTCACAACACCCTCCCATCCCATCCTGTTTTCCATGGACCAAAAGGGGACTCTAGGACAGCAATACTCTAGCTGTCATTTGTAGGCTGGTAGCCATTTTATGTGTGGATGTAAAAACATGATCAGTCTCAACATGGGGCAGGAAAACATTTTGGCAGACAGACAAAAGCTTAGGTTGCAAAGCATACACCAGGACCTCATGTTCTGAGCTTTTAAATAAGCCAACAGCATGTGAATCTTTAAAAAAAAAATGGTAATGGATAGGAATATCATTATTTCTAAATACATCTTAAGTATGTACAGATATATGCGTTAGCCTTATTTTCTTTTCTCTTACTCATTCTTATTTAAAACTGATGTGTCTGCAAAAAAAAAAAAATGACAAGAGCAACTTTCAAAAAGGTAACACTCCAAAAGAGGCTTAAGAAGATTATCATAAATAAAAAGCTTTAAAGACTTCTGGACGAAAGTGACATCTCCTTAATCGTGTTTTTCATTTGGCAAAAACGTAAAAATCCATTTTCCATGGTAGACTTCCTATATCCATTTGTAGAGCTTGGCTGCAAATACAAACCTTTGAGCAGCATGGCACTGAACATTTGTGTTTTCACTACAGCTGCAATGTTTTCTGTTATTATTGCAGAGTACAATGCTTCATTGGACACCGTCTGTATAGTACA